CAGAACACACGCGCACATACACATCACACACACATGCACATATGATATTATGCAATATCCTTAAAATTTATTGCAAGTTGTACCAGTGATGTAATTATTAATTATTAATAATTAATTTATATATATGTACATTTATGTTATAAATATTATCAATATTAATATATATTTAAGTTATCGAATATGTAGTTATTGATATGTATTATTTTTTTATAAATGATGACATTGTTTTTTCAGGTATAACATAGTGATGCAATATTGAAAATCTTATTTTATCAAGACAAAATGTCAGATAACAATTTACCACATATTTCATATGGACTTGATTCACCTGGTAGAATAGTACGCATAGAATCTAGTATCACAAGGCCTACTATTGGTCGTCTTCCAAGTATAGAAGAAACATTGAGAAGACTTAGCACAAATTTAAGATCAGAAAGACAAATTAATGAATCAAATAGTGGTGGTAATAAATTAAGAAATTGATTAATTATATATATAATAATAATTGCTTTTTTATTAAATGTATGTATATAATTTATATAATTTCCTTAAATATTTTTTTAAATATTACAATATATATAATAAAAATATATATAACAATGTATATTTATAAATATATATAACAATATGTATTTATAAATATATATAAAAACTGATAAGTTAATATTTATAATTTGTATATAATTAAATAATAATAGTTTTAGAAAAAATTATCTATATATTATATATATTATATTAACAATATAATAGTATTATTTGTTAAAAGTTATTAATTAACATTCTTGATTAAAGACATATCTGATGTTCAACCTTCAGCAATTGTATCGGATGAAGAACCATTACCTATCGTATTATCAGAATCTATAAACAAAGCACAACCAAATGATGTGATTGATGGGGCATCTTCTCTAAATCAAGATGTTAATGCATCAGTAATAAATACAGAAGATGAGTATGTATTAATATAAATTATATTTTTATATAACAGATAATATTTTGACATATGTTTTTTAATAAAATATTTTTTTAATATATAGTAAAAGATATTGTTGGGTATGTTTTGCAACGGATGAAGATGATGCAACTGCTTCATGGGTAAAACCATGTCATTGTCGTGGTACAACAAAATGGGTCCATCAAGGATGTATTCAAAGATGGGTCGATGAAAAACAAAAAGGACGAGCAGGTGCACATGTAGCATGTCCACAGTGTAATACCGAATATATTATTGTATATCCAAATATGGGTTAGTAATTATTTATATATATTTAAATATTGTTTGATTTTTTAAAAAAAATTTGTATGATAGTTTTTTTGCAGCTTATTATTTTCTATAAAGATATTTATAGATATAAACTGTCAAAAAATCATTAATTTAGGAAATAATTTGAAGTTTATAAAATTTATTATATAGAATATAAAAAACATATAAAATAATATTTACTTGTTCATGTATCCATATATATATATTATAAAATTCAAATTAAAATATTTCTTAAATTAGATTTTTTGATATAAATAGTTTTTTGTATCAAAATATTTTTTGAAAGTATATTTATTTCGACTATTTTGATTGCTTAATTAAAAATATATATCATCATCATGTGACTTTCATTTAATTGTAATAAAACTTTAAATCATAATATATTTCTTTATTAATCTTCTGTAAAAATATTTTTTTTATAACTTAATTTTTTTATTTCATATATATATATTATTACAGGGCCGTTAGTAGTCGTATTGGATACTATTGATGGAGTAATTTTCCGGATTTGTCCATTTATCGCAGCTAGTATACTTGCAGCATCTATATACTGGACAGCTGTAACATATGGTGCAGTAACTGTAATGCAAGTAGTCGGTCATAAAGATGGTTTAGCTATGATGGAACAAGCTGATCCTTTGGTATTACTAGTTGGTCTGCCAACTATTCCAATAATATTAATTTTGGGAAAAATGCTAAGATGGGAAGATCTTGCACTTAATCTCTTAAGAAGACATGCATGTAAGGTTCCTATTTTGAGGCATTTCTTGCCCAGTAGGTATGTACAAAAATTTATACGGAATTTAAAATATATTATATGTTTTATATAACGATATTATTTTATTATTAGTTATTCCAGCGATGATAGAGCACAATCCGAAGATGTACCACCTATGAGCGATCCAATATCAGCAACTCGTATTCTTTGTGGTGCACTTCTATTACCTAGTATCGCTAGCATATGTGGAAAAATATTTTTTGAAAGTATACATTCTAACTTTCAGAGAACATTACTTGTATGTACTAAATATATCTATTATCATTTAAATAATTATTTTAAATTTTAGATTAAAAAATTAATTCATTTTTACAGGGAGGTATAGCATTTATAGTAATAAAAGGTGCATTCAAGATTTATCATAAACAGCAACAATATGTAAGACAATGTCAACGTCGTATAATGGATTATACAGAAAATAATGTCGCATTATATAGAAGACAACAAAATTCTGAAACCAATCAGACAAGTTAAATTAAAACATTCAAAATATTCTTAAGGAATATCCTAATAATAAAACAATATATTTCAGTTTAGAAAAACTAAACATCATAGCGTATTTATCATAAAAACAGATGTCCAGTATATTACTTTTATGTAACAATATAAGTTTATGGGTACTTTAATCAGGTCTACATAAATTTATATATCTATATCTCTCGATGCGTGTGCGCATACATACACATACGTAATATCGAAAATTATCATTTATATAAATATAATTAACGAATTATTATTTGTTCGAAAAGAAACATTCGATCGAAAAATAAGGAAACGTTCATCTTTTAAATTTAATTATTAGAAAACTTTAATTATTTAAAGAATATAATAACAACGTCCATTTATCTTTTCTCGTATAATAAATAAGAATTAAGATATGTCGATATTCTTAATTCAATTCAAATTTTCTTTATTCGAAATAAGTATACGAAGAAAAATTCATTGTGCTAAATTTATAGTTCATTAATAGCAAAAATTGTATTTTTTACAAACCGAACATGGCACAAGTTTTCCGTGCATTGACAAAAATAGACAAGATATGTTTTTAGCAATTATTCACATTTTTACTATTAATGTAAAAAAAAATACAATCTTTAGAAAAGAAATTCATTTCTATTATAGATAAGTTTTGAATTAGGATATCGAATTATATATTAATATATGTCAAATAAAAAAGTTTTGAAATAAAACCTTATTTTATGTAAATGTTTTATTCGCTGTAAATATAAGAAATTCCAATATCCATATTTAAATATCAATTTAAATTGTTTTTTATACCTAAATAAGAAAGTATGTTAATAATTTAGGTATATTATAATAATTTAAAATCGAAACAAAATAATGCCAAATAATCATTGAACAAAAATAAAAAATGAATAAATTAATTAGTTTGACTCGTTTGTTTCAATCCGATGATGGATACAGCTAAAGCTATCATCTAGCATAATTCTACGATCGACAATTGTTTTTCATATAATTTATTATAACAAAGCCGAAACAAAAATTAAAGAAAAAAATTACGTAAAATCATTTCAAGAATCATCGATTAAATTTTATCAGTTAATTTCTGGGACACCTTATATATTAAAATCAATATATCAACTGATTCATCGCTTATAATTTTTTAAATGTTATAATTAAATAACTAATATTTAAATTTAGATTTAATTAAAAAAGTAATTATTAATATTAATAAAATATAATAAATATATAACAAATATATAAGATAAAAACTGAAAATAGTTTAAAAAAGAATTATACGAAATATATTCATTATATTTTTACAGAAAAATTATATCGCTTAAGTACGTAATATACGAAGTGTCCCAGATTTTTTTTCAGTAAAACTTTGCGAATATGCAATATATAAATATAATATGCAATATATAAATATTATAAATAAAAATAATATAAAATTATCATAAATATTTAATTAAAAAATTAAAATAAAAATATGAAACGATAATGAATTAATTTTTTTTTATATAAAAATATACTTCAACAAATATAAAAAGTATTTATATAAGCTTTTATAGATAATAGATATCGACAATTCCTATATATGAAACAAAAAATTAATTCATCGTCATTTTATATTTTTATTACAATTTTTAAATAAAGCATTTATAATTATAAACTTCTATATTTACGTAATATTCTTTTTTATCGTTACTCATAAATATCAGCGAGATTTCGTCAAAGAAACTGGAATACTCCAGGAATGTTAATTTTTGAAAATCGAAATTCTTTAATCCGTAAGGACGATATAGATAATTAAACAACTATTAACCATATGTACACCAAAACGTAATGTATATTTTTTTATAACAGAAATGATGAATTTATTTTTTAAATACGCAATATAAGTAAATAAGTATCACATTTTTTATACAAATAAAATTTTCGTTTTTATTTATAACTATTATATATTTTTTTTATCACCCATTACGTATAAAGTGCAGTAGAATATAATACATTTTTCATTTATATCTTTATATATCGACAAAGTAGTAAATGTAATATAATTACAATAATGCTCACAGAAACATCCGCAAAGAATCTTATTTAGAAGATATCATTGTGAATAAATATTTCAAAAATTCGAACATAGGAAAAAATGTAAGAAACTTAATACAATAAGAATCGATACTTAACACAAACATAACGATAATAGTATTATAAAATTAGACAGTAGATATAGTCAATAGCAGATGCTTTTGCAAGCATTAATGTATCTCACATTTGTGATTTTGTACAGATAATTTGTATATAAAAATCAAAATCATGCTAAAAATTAATTTCTTTAAAAATTATATTTAATTTCAATCTAAAGTCAATAATAAATAAAAATAAACTATATTGGTAGCAATAAACTAATATCATAAAATATAGAATTTTCATATCTATTTATATGAAATTCATTTAAATAATATGTACTTCTATATCCGCAAAAAGATACAAGAAATAAACATCGTATATATTCAATTAGAATTGAACATTCTTAAAAATTTATAATAATTTAAAATCGGAGTCGTAAATTAATACAATAAAATGCAATTTTTTAACAAATAGAACAAAAAATATTTCTTGGTACTTCAGGTCACATTAAAGGTGGTCCCGTATATTTAAGACTTCCAGAATAGAAATCCGGTGGACCTTCAATCACTACCAATTTAACTTCTTCAACTATATCCGATGAATCTGTACATAATTTGGAACTACTAACAGTTTTGAAAAATGTACATGGTCTTGGACCTTTTCCAGATTCATCCACATCATACGGTGGACTAAGTATATCCAAAAATGCAGCAGGTCCTTCGATACATGTAATTTCATGTAAATTTTTTTCTCTTGGTGTAAGAGTACAAGCAGGTGAATTACTATGTAAAGATATCGGCTTATGTCCAAATGCCATAATTTCTTTGTTTAATCTAATCGTATGATCTTCATTCGCTTTTAAAGTATAATTATTTACTTGAACTACACCATTGATTACCTATATTTTAAAATAAAATAAAAAAACATTAATTTTACATAGCATTTTAAAATAAAATAATCAATAATAAAAATTTGATATAAAATTATTAATTATTACAGATGTACAAGAATTTTCAAAAATTTTTTTTCGCAATTGAAAATTCCGAAATAACGTATATTTCGAGACTCGTTTAAACAAGTACGATTATGATTTCAAATTTTCAATTTTTCAAAAATTAGATTATAAAAGTTAAAAGATAGAATGAAAATACGATGTAATAAATTATAAATAATAAATTATAAATATAATTATAATTATAAATAATAAATAATAAATTATAAATAAATAAATAAATTATAAATAATATTCATTAATATAAATTTCAAAATATTAATCAGATTTTCGAAATTTTCGAAAATTTCGATATAAGAATTTAAAATTTTCAAGAGTTCCTTTGATCAAATTCTTAATATTTTTAATATTTTCGAATTTTTGTATTATAATTTCTTACAATATATATAAATTACATAATGTATATCATTAATATTATATTAAATATTTTAAAAAATCATACCATATTACAAACCTTTAAAAATCCATACATTCCAGGATGATCATGAATTGGCATCGTAAATCCGTGTTTTAATATAAAAATTGAAATAGCAAAGTCTTTGTTTTCAAATATATCAATAACCCACATCGGTGCATGTTGCACTTGAATAAAATCAAGGATTTGTTTATTTAGATTTACATCTTCGGCCGTAATTTTGTTCATTAAATACCGCAATTTGTCAAAATTTTTTTGACAAAGTTTAAATCCTACGTTACTTCGTTCTTCAAATGTATTTAACGCTTGTTTCCATAATGTTTTAATCGCTGCCGTCATATTTATTTATTTTCTAATACGATTCTATGAATTTACCTTTTGTAAATCATATTAATATATTAATAATATATTTAGAAATATAATTAAAATATAAATAAATTTAATACACAATTTCAAAATATTATTATGAATAAATAATACATAACCTTAATGATTATAATGTTGAAAATTTAAATTTGACATTAAAAATAAAAAAAAAATATCGATTGTTCAAAATAAATAAATATTTTAATAAATACCATTCAATTATTATATATAAATTATTTTTCTAAAATATTTCGTTAAATTATTTCGTTGTTGTTGAAAGTTATTTCATATTTAGAGGTTAAACGAATCGTATATTTATTTTTCACTGTTCAATCATTAATTACTTAATATTTATTATTTTTCGATAATTATTTTAGCCATCACTCTTTATAAAAGAATATACGTTATTAATTTTATTTTCTTATTAATCCAATCCTTAAAGATACTTTACATTTAATATCAAAGTTTGCTAAACATAGCTATATGACTTGATTCGATAGATGATACTGTAAACATAAGTGAAGTTTCGATATTTAATATATTTAGTGACTTTTATTTTTTACATTAAACTTATATAATAAATAAATATTAATTAAATAATTAAAATTGAGGACAATAAATAATTACATTAATTAATATATTAGACAGTTAATTAGTCTTATTTAAAAAAATAAAAAATAAAATAAATTAAAAAATTTTTAATAGAATATGTAATTATAAAAATGTTTTTCCATATATATATAATTTATAATATATTTTTTAAAAAATATTTTTATTTTATTTGTTTGAATATATAATTAAATAATTATTTATATATAATTATATAATTATATTTAATTAAATAATGAAAAATAAATTATGTGAGAATTTTAAATATTAAGAAAATAAACATTTTATAATTATTTTAAAGAATTATAAAAAAAGAATGAATTATAAAAAAATTATAAGATTATAATCATTATTTTACAATAATGTTCATAATCAATTAAAAATAATTAAACAATTTAATTTTGTGAATTTAAGTTAACAAATTAATGTGCAGAAAGAAATGTCTTTTGTCACAAATACTAAGAATTTTATATTAATTTGAGGTAAAATTAATTTATTCATTTACTATTTAAAATAAACTACTATCTGAAAAACATATAAGTTTTACTTCTTTTTATAATTATTAATTCTGTATTGAAAAATAAGAACAGATAAAATCTTCATATATTGGAAAAATTAGAATTTGAGAAATATGTCATGTAAAACAATATTTGAATGTTTAGTGAAAATTTTTTCTTATATATTATTTTTTTAATTTGAAAGTGTAAATGTTATTTAATTTTTCTCCAATATTTTTATAAATTTATATTATAAAATTAATAATTGTTTATATAATGGTTTTAGAACAAAAATAAATATAAATAAATCTCACATAGTTTCAATCTAAAATAATTTTTATAGTTTTATTTTTTTGAACATTCTTTTTAAAATTACACAATAATTAATAATTATAATAATACAAAAATATTTATTAATATATAAAATTATATATATTCATAATAATTTTTATGATTAAATATCTAAACATTCATAATAATAATCTATTTTAAATATATTGTTCCATAATGAGATTTCATTTTCTATATTATTAATTTAGAATAATATTATTTATCTATGTCTAATGAGAAACATTTAAGGAAACTATTTTTCAATTTAAGTAAAGTTATTATGTGGAATTCATAAATGTCCAAAATATGGAACTTATAAAAGATCTTGTGGTTTGTGTTGTAAAAACAAATACTGTGATTTATTTTACAGTATTATTATATACTATTTAAAAAATCTGATGAAAAAAGAAAATTGTCAATTGAAGCATATAAACTTATTATGGGCAGAACTGCTCAAGTATTTTCTGTAAAAGTTTTGTAAAAGTTCTAGATAAAAGTCCTGATTATCATGAATTTGTTCAATTATCATTAATAAATGCCACAATTTCTAATGAAATGACAACACTTATTTCATAATCCATTGCATTATGCTTTGTTGAAATTATGAAAAAACTTTTTGACTTTAAGGAATTCTATTCTATCATTTTTAAATGTAAATAATGAAACGAAGCAAGATTTGGTTATTAGTTACAGAAACTTCTGGTCCTTTAATACAATATGTATTTAAAAATATAACTTCTGGTCCTTTAGTACAATATGTATTTAAAAATATAATGGCAATAAAATGCAAATCTTCACCTAAACATCCCTTACCTTCATTTTTCTCTTTTTGTTATAAAATTAAAAGACAGAATCGAACATCATTATTTTTGTTCTTATTCTACATTTAAAGTAAGCATTAACAAAAAAAAACAAAATTTATTATAATTAAAAAAAATTGAAATATTAACATTATCAAAAATTAATTTAAAATATAAGAAAAACAATAGGAGATAAACTAGACTATTTTTTCAAAATAAATATTGCATTTTTATGCTTGTATTTGTATATTTGTTAGTGATATAAAACTGTCAGATGAATATAGTTATTATATTAATTTAGATCAAAATGATTTAAGCATATCAAAACCATTAACAATATTAATATTATAATGATGAACAAGATAAAATAGTAAGCAACAGTAAAAAGATTCATATTAATTTTTTATGAAATATTTATTTCACAAAAAATTTTAGATCTTAATAGTCTAACTATGATAGTCTATACTATAACTATATAAAGATACACATTTTTCAATGATTTGAAATTAATTGAATTCAATTTGAAATTGAAAATCATTAAATTTTTCTTAACCAATAAAAATATTAATGAAATTTATGAACAATATTTTTTAAATTTGAAAAATTGTCTAAATTATCTTTTAGAAAATACGATTTCTAATGTATCAATTTTTTTTTAAATAAATTTATAATACTTGTTATTTGAAAAATGTACTTATCATGTGATAATTTCTGTTTTGTAATTTCTGTCTTAGATATATCGATATCAATAGATTTATCTAATTGCAAAGAAAAAATATTATGTTTAAATATTATGTTTAAGTTTTTTTCTATCAACTTTTTTAATATCAGTTATAATAATTTTGATTCTTCTCTGTTATTATCTTTACTATTGGATTATATTTACTATTATTATTGTTTTATTTTTATTTTAATATTTATTAAAAATGGTCTAGAAGTTCTTTCTAATTATATAATTATAAAATTTATTCAAAAATTTGTATTAAAGTTTTTATGAATAATATCGAAATCTATCTATATTAGATTTTGTAGGAACTGTAATTTTTTACATTACTACAAATATACATTTTCTCTTAAGATAAATATAATCAAATTCCTTTTTTTACTCAATTAAAATTATATATCTTTATCTTCTTATTTATATGATTATCAGCGTATAAATATAATAAAATTTCTAATAAAATTATTAAAAATAAAATAAGTAATTTCTTAATGTTATTATTTTAAAAAAGAATTTAGGTTATTATTATAAAAATCAGAATTCTTTATTTCGATCTTTTTTATTAAAAATTCATTACAGATTATCGTAAATTTTCTAAACCGCTATTATTATTGTTTAATGACGTTTCGCGACAAGTAAAAAAAATATATAATTAATTGTGATTTGTTTCGTTTATTTTATTTTGGTTTATCTTATTTTAATTAATGATAATATTACTATCGATAAAATTTTATTCTAGCAATATTTTTTCTTATTTTCTTAAAATCATCTTTCAATCGTTTGATATGTTATTCGGCTATACATTGTTTAAATTTATTTGCTTGCATCGCAGAATTCATGGATAATATATTGACAAACGTAATGAATGATAGCAATTGCAAATTAGAATTTATTTTAGACTAGCAATCATATAAATAATTAGCAGCAAATTTAATTCGTCAAATGCGTAGTTCCTCAAGTTTAGTCTATGCCGATTCGTTGTTTGATTTCATGGATTTATCGTATTTTTGATAAATTTTTAGTGGTTGAGCCAAGATTATCGGATTTAATAATCTTATATATATCTTATAGTTTATTATAATATTCTGTTTTTTGGAAAAAATATGAAAGAGAGAATTAGAGATGTCTAAGCATAACATTCAAAAACATAGAATTTCATTTAAAAGTTGAATAAATTAATCATAATTTCGAGTATAGAAGTTAAAAAATAATTTCTAAATGACTTTTAATGACTCTAAATTTTTAAATTATTCTGAAAGATTAAGATGTTACGGATGAATGAATTCGTTTTAGATTATAGATCTATCTAAATAAAAACATTTTTATATAAAAAAACAAGGATCATCTTGAAAATTCAGAAGCAGAGAAATGATTTGCTATTATTGTAAAATATCTTTTTTCAAAAAAGCGTAAGTTTTATTTAAAATATTTTCTATAAATAATAATAAAGCTATAATTTAAATAAATTATAAATTTACAAATAATTATATACGAAACTTTAAATATACTACACCACTTTTTGTGTATAAACATATATTTAATATATAATATATATGAATGTTATACTATGTATATGTAATATATATGAATGTTATAATATATATATTTATACATATATATGAAGTAATATATATGTATACGCGTATGTGCGCGATATAAGTAATATACAATTAAATATATTGTTTTTATGAATGTTGTTATATTATGAATATTATTACAAAAATAAGTAAATCTTAATTTTAATAACTTAAAGACAAAATGAGAAATTTTATTGACAGAATAAAAATTA